TTCTTTATGAGGATTAAATTATATAATACATGCAAGGCATCTGGCCTATTACAGGTTTTCAATACATGGCAGCCATTATTTTTATACTGAGGTAAACATCTTTTTTGATGAGACTGTATCATGGATATACATTTCATGTAATTCTCCATTCTCTGAGAAAAATTACCACTCCCTGCCATATAGGAGGTATACAATAGCTTTGTAGCAGTTCTATAGGTAAGAGTGGCTTAAACACTGGAGGGGTAAATGATATTCTTTAAGATAAAGGCACTGAAACTACAGAGGAGCCACTCAGAGGCAGTAGGTAGAGTTCTCTTTAGTTCTTCCTGTTTGGCTAAAAGGTGTCACCAGCCTCTGGGTCTTTCCCTCAGGGAAACAGGACTTCTTATGATTTAGGTAGATCATTCTAAAGCTAGCATTCTCCTATTAATAAAAGGAAAAATGGAACTCATTAAATAAAATTGACTTATATCAAGCTAATTTCATGATAATGCTGGCAAAGAGCAGTGAAACTCACCACTGCCTCAATTGAAGTTTTGTGCTGAGCATTTAAAAAACATTTTTTTCCAGCTCCTTCAAAATCTTCTCAGTTTCTATCATAAACACATTAATTTATGTTTCCATGCTCCTCATTTGGCAATATTTTAAAATTAAATAGCAGCTTGGCTTGGGATATTACCAAGTAAAATTTTATTTTGCTGTTTTCCAAATCTCCTAACCATTAATTCAAATCTTCCTAACCATTAATTTCCAAGGTTGTACTTCAAGGTTCCATTTAAAAACAGAACAAATTGGTGATTACTTAATACAGAGAAGATAGGCTTGGAATTAAAGACAAACATTGTGGATATGAAATCCTTATTTCCTGCCATTAAAGGAAAACCAAATCAGTTGAGGTATATTTTAAGAGATAAATCAAAATGACCAGACTATAGGAAATTCAAATGAATCTCTTCAAATAGGCAGAAATAAGGCAACTGAAACAACATTATTAAGTGCACACTATTAAAAAATGAATCTAGCCGGGCTCGGTGGCTCAGCCTGTAATCCCGCACCTTTGGGAGGCTGAGGTGAGTGGATTGCCAGAGCCCACGGGTTCGAGACCCGCCTGGGCAGGCGAGACCTCATCTCTACAATAAATCAAAAAAAATTAACCGCTTACGGTAGCAAGTGCCTGTAGTTCCAGCTACTTGGAAGGCTGAGGCGGAAGGATCGCCAGAGCCCAGCAGGTCGAGGCTGCGGTGGCCAGGAGCGGCCACTGCACTCCAGTCTCGGCGACTGAGTGAGACTCCAACTCAAAACAAAACAAAACAAAAAATGAATCTGCATTTTATATTAAAAATTAACAGACCAGAAAAGGCTTCTGGGAATCCCTGTTGATTATTTTCCATAGACATCTCCAGTTTCCAGTCATAGGAAAAGGCCTGATAATTTTGAGTATCATCAAGAACAACAACAACAGTCATTATTCCACTCATGGAGAAAGCTGTGACATAACCTCTAAAATACTTAGTCTAGTTCTGTTTGTTCCAACTTCAGAAAGACATACAAAACTGGAAAAAAAGGCCAGAGGAAAAAAGTCAAATTTTCAGGTAAGAAGAAGACTAGAAACATCAAAATTATTAGAAAAGAGTCATGGATTCGTAGACTTGAAATATATATACTTAAACCAATTCTTTATGCTTCTAGAATGTTTCTGATAAATCCTACACAGTTTAGTTATCAAAGGCCTATTGTACACCAGGAATTATCGAGAATCCTTTGCTTTTATGCAGCCTACATCCAATCTATACCTCAAATATATCTCAGATTCATTCACTTCATTGCCATTACCCTGGTCCAAATCATCTTCCTCTCTCATGGAGACTACTGCAATAGCATCCTAACTGATTACCCTCTTTTACTTCTGCTCCTCACAACTATGTTCTAATTTTCCAGTCCACTGCAACCAGAGTGATCTTAAAACGCAAATTAAATCCTGGCATTTGCTACTTAGAATACCTTCAGTGATTTTTCATTGACCTTAGTATCAAGTGCAAAGTAATAAACATGGCCCTGAATGACTGGTTCCTTCCTCCTTCACTGGTGTCTCAAGTGGCTTTCCCCCTTTGCTCTCCAAGGTCTATCTGCACTGACTTTCTTTCAGTTTCTCAAAATAGTTTCCACCACACATAATAACAGCACCACCACCACCACAACTAACATTTATCATGTTTTTACTATGTGATTGGCACCATGGTAAGTACCTTATGTACATTACCATGTTTAATCCTCAGAAGAAACTCTATGAGGTAGTTCTTTTCATCCTTTTACTGCTGAGAAAATGAATACTCAGAGAAATTAAGCAATTTCTCTAAAGAAAGGTAAATAGAAAAGGTGGGAAATATGTTATATTGCATATTCCAGGAATGTTCATTCTCCCCCCGATTCCCTGGCTAACACATACCATTCTTTAAGATTACATATGTCATTTTCTCAAAATGGTCCCTTACACTTTTCCTTCATAAACGGTTTCAGAGTTTATAATTATATATTTCTTCATGTGATTCTTTAATGTCTGTCTAACCTCTAATAGATTGTAAGTTTCATAAAGGTAGGGACCCTACGTTAAAAAATATGCCTAACATAAATCAATAAATATCTGCTGAATAAGTGAGTCATCAAACCTTCCAATAATGAGGTACTGAATCACTCTATGAAAGAGCCTATTTGAGTGTTAGAAATTCTATCAAAATATTCTTGCTTACATTAAACCAAAAGCTGTTTCATTACAATGTCTATCTTCTGATTCTAATACTGGTCTCTTGACCAATACTGAAAAGGTATAGTCTTTTTTCCTTTTCAGCTCTTCAAATACTTTTAGCCTAGACAGTTTAAGGTGCAAGGACTGGTAATCATGGTGAGATTATTTGAGATTTACTTGTAAAAAATTAGATTCTAGAGTAAAAGAGATGAGAGGGCATCTTCTGAAATTAGAGCCTCATTAGGGCACACTTACAGAAATTAATTATTTGAATACAGTAAATGATTGCAAGAGGTAGACATGAATTATAGATGGAACTGATGTGCTTGGCATGCTCTTTCACAAATTGGGTTCTAACTGGCATAAATCTAGAAAGAAAGAACGAAAACTGGAGGTGGTCTAGTTAAAGGTCATTAAATGACCATACAAAAAGATTGGACAAAGTACAAACCAGCTGCTACAAATAAATTTGGATATCCCAAAACTACAAGATTGATGCCATAAAGTGTAACCGTATCTTCCCGTAACTCTCAAGAGTTTTGTTGGCAGCAGAACTCTGGATTATATGAACTATATTTCTAAGATTTGAAAATTAATAAGACAAAATATCAGCTGAGAAATTACTTGGAGCCAAAATTCCTCTTTAGGTGCTTTATATTTTTTAATTAACCTGGTGCAATTTTGTAAGGATGTCTTTATCTCCTATCCTTAATGAGAAAGATAGAATCTCAAAGTTGGAAATGTCTTTGAGTTTGATAACTAATGTGATGCTTAAAGCCTCTCTACAATATTTAGGCCAAATGGCTGTTGAGTTTGGAGCTCTGGTTTAACTCTCAGTTCAACAATTTACTAGCAATGTAACTTTGAGCTGGTTAGTTACTGTGCACCAGTTTCCTAATTTTAAAAACTGAAATACTAAAATATATCTTTTACAACTGTTTTAGAATTAAATGAAATATCATAATATGAAACATCAATTAGCATTAGGCCTGGCACATAGCAAGTGTTCAATAAATGTTACTTTCCCTGTGGATAAAAATCTACTACCTGCCAAGACAGTCCATTTCCTCTCTGGACAACCTTGGTAATGGGTTCTACAACTGTGTGCAACTAATCCAAAACTATCAGTAAACAACACTTAAAAGTGCAATATGTAAGATGTTATCTTAAGAAATGTTATTCTTCATTGGTATTTTAACTTTAGATATTAATTTAGCTTATATGTATTTCTTAAACAATTTGTCACTCACAAATGGCAGCATATGACCTTAGAGAGATGAAAGTTGCAATCATTCTTGATGAGAAACCTTTGACAGTCTGATTGATATAAATACTTCATTGAAACATCCTTTTTCAGCAAAACGAGAATAAAAGTTTACTTTCTAGGGATTAACAGGGTGTGGTAGTGATCTTTTAAGACTAAACACATACTCTTCCTATTTTTCTTATTAATAATTAATGCCAGAAAATAAGAATATCAGAAATGTTTTGTTATTTTTTGCAAGCTTACAAAACAATTTTGTAAAAAATTGTATTTTTATTTAAGTCATAACTTAGGCTATAAGGAATTAATTTTACTCACTTAAGGTATCAAATAATATCACCTGTTTTGTGACAATTCATGTAGTATACTCTGTAAATTCACTTTCCTTGTGTTAACTTAATTTTCCACTTTATATGTGTTATGTAGATTCATTTGCTAAAGAGTATTTTAGCTGGCTTTCCACAATAGAAGATAAAATTACTTCTAATTAACCTGATTCAAATATAACATGAAGCCTTATACTTCCACAATGTAAATTTAAATTCAAACTTTATTTGAGGAAAGAAATTATATTTTCTAGTTCATTATCTCTTGGTTTACTCCAACCTTTCAAATATAAAAAACATTTATCATCATGCTATAAATTATTTTATGATTTAATAAGATTTTTAATAGTAAGAAATGTTAAGGTCAAATTTAGATTGATGTTATCAGAACTTAAATTGAAAATCAAATATTAGAAACAAGAATGTTCCTGAGATCATAAATATGATTTATATAGAATAAAATTATTGATTGTATTTACTCTCATTTCTCTTTTATATAGTGGGTTTTATTTGTCAATGGGACCATCACAGGAGTTTAAATTTGTAGTGGATAAGAATTATTCTGATTCTAAGTAACATGATTATGGCTAACATATCACGGCTAACATGATTCCTAAAAATGCTTACAGATGATTTAGAAAAACAAAAGAGGATAAAATAAGCTTACTGTTTCACCAATTTTTCCAATATTTCCTTCATCTCCTACTTCTCCCTGTCAATAAAGAATATAAAATTTTTAAAATGATTATTTTTCAAATGAGATTCATGACAGCTCTTTTGTTTTTGTTTTTAATAGAGTCATATTTCTAGGTTATGAGTATATATATAGAAAAAGGCAAAGGAAATTTGTTATTCAAAACTCTGTTATAGTATTTATATAGAACAGGGTCTTTCCTCTATTTTCATTCAAATAATAATAATAATCTATTTTTTAAAATTACATTGTCCCATTCATGACTTTAAGTCACTTTTAAGACACGTTTCTAGATAAAAAATTTTAAAAATAAAATACCTATTGAGGTATACTCTGTAAAAGGCAGAGTGGTAGGCACTGTGAAAGATATTACAAATATAAATAAAGCCCTTCCCCACAGGGATGCTGTATTTACTCAAGCAGAAAGAAAACACGCCACAGGTTAAGTACTAAAGGAGTTCTTAGGAGTATGCACCCTATGGACTGGAGTATCTAGAGATGGCATCCCTGGAGAAGTAATGTAGGTTCATAACTCCAAACCACAATTTGTAGTCCATAAAGCTCTGAAAATACAGTCTTCCGTAACTTATTTGGTGACAAACTTATTCTCACCTGACTTTATTTGGTGGCAATGCTTAATTTGATCTGAGTGAGGCCGTTTATAGTCTTGATTTTTTCCAATTAATCTAAACGTCCTCACATTTCACCCCAGAAATATTAATGTATTTGATTATGGCATGTGGTCCCACAGCCTGCTGGCAATTTAAGTAAAATACAGTATACTTCCATATTACTTTTCAAAAATCCAAACATTCATGATTTCAAATGATAGATTTTATTTTATTTTATTTTATTTTTTTGAGTTGGAGTCTCACACGGTCGCCCAGACTGGAGTGCAGTGGCCGCTCCCGGCCACCGTAGCCTCGACCTGCTGGGCTCCGGCGATCCTTCCGCCTCGGCCTTCCAAGTTGCTGGAATTACAGGCATGTGCTACCACAGCCGGCTGATTTTTTGATTTATTTAGAGATGAGGTCTCGCTGCCCAGGCGGGTCTCGAACCCGCGGGCTCAGGCAATCCACTCACCTCAGCCTCCCAAAGGCGCGGGATTACAGGCTGAGTCACCGAGCCTGGCTAAATGATAGATTTTAAAACTGTATTTAAGTTGGGTCCTAAAAAAATAGGTGATAGTTATACTGGTAAAGAGAAAGGGCCATTTTTATTGGTGGGAATGCATGAGCAGAGGTATAGATCAATAAAAGGCAAAAGAGTGGAAGTTCAGAGTACCACAAAGATTAACTCTAACGAGAATGTACATTTTGTTTACAGAAACAGGAGATTAAAACATCAATTACCATCTAAAAATTAGAAATTATATTGCAGTGTGGCGGAGTAAGATGTTAGACACTGAACAATACTTGTAGCCACGAATTATATGATATCCGAAACAGGCTATTCTGAACTGAAATGTGATGTAAGTATAACATACACACTGGATTTCAAAGACTTTCTTAAAAAATATAAAATATCTCATTATTTTTAATATTTATTACATGTTAAGGAGATGATATTTTGATATCTTGGGTTAAGTAAAATATATTATTACAATTAATTTTACTTTTTAAAAAATTTTTAATGTGGCTCACATCTGTGGTCTACATCATATTTTTATTAGATAGCACTGATTTTAAGCACAATAGCCTAATTCTCATTTTGAGTAATCACTCTGAAATACATTTTCAATAATTTTGAAATAATTTTCGAAATAAATTTTTATTTTATTTTGAAATACATTTTCAAGGTCTACATAAAATTTTCTTTTCAATTCCTGCATGCATTTAGAGAAATAGTAAAGAGTAAAGAATGGTAGTTTGTTGTAATACCTAGTTTTTGACAGCTCATTAAATAACTTTTATGGAAAATTTATGGCGAAATAATACATGGATGATTAATTTTCTAGTATTTTTTCCCTCCTTACTCTAAGTTGTCCTCTCAAATTCCCCAAAGGGAGATGCTCCTGGGTCTTAGGGAAGGTTTGTGTTAACAGAAAGTAAAAGTTGTTTGTCGATGACTTGTATTCTTGCTTTTCAGAGAGCCTGAAGCTAAGAGGTGGCTTTCTTTGAGAACAATGAGAGAGAGAGAGAGAGAGAGAGAGAGAGAGAGAGAGAGAGAGAGAGAGAGAGAAACAGAGATCCCACGTTTCTGTGAAAGGTGGTGACCCTTAAGCAATTTCCCCATGGAGTGTCAGGACCCAGTAAATGATACATTGAAACACAAGGTATAAGGAGGCAGGTAGGGAAGAATGATCACAAAAGAACTTCCTCCATTTACTGGGTACCACAGGAGCTACCCAGATTCTGGTGTGTTCAAGGAAGGAGATTCAGTTTCTTGCCAGTTTTACTGAATGGTGGTGGTGGCTTGCAGTCAGGTCTCCTAGCACTATTCGGCAGTACAGGGATTCATCTCCGTAAATAATTGACTAAGCCTTCTATTTATAAATAAAAATAAGTTGTGTTCCTATTTTCTAGGGTGTTTTCCTGTGTAACTGAGAATCAGGTACACATATTCCCCCAGGATAATTTCAGCCACAGACATGATGAAACAGTAAAAACTACTTTAGCTCACATTTCTTTATTAATCTCAAAAAGTACTGTCTAGCTTTATCTTAGATTCCAGCATCATAAAAATGATACACTTAATATTTTAAAAAATTCCAGCTTTAGGACACTAAGCAATAAAGCTGTGACTTTTTAACCTTTTTAATCAATTTTTCAAAAAGCACCTGTTTTTAAAATTTCTTTTTTATTTGAAAGATGTGGAGTGCAAGTCAGGATTGGTACATAAGTGGTCTATGTACAGTTTGGGTCTCCCACTGGACCTCACTTCATCTGGATTGGGGTCATGAACCCTTACTGATGTGTTCTCCCACCTCCTCTGGCAGTGTCCTGCTACTGCCAGCCCCTTTCTTGTAGTATTATTCTTACAAGCTATTTTGTTTCAGGTCTTGACACTGTACATATTAAATCACTGCATTACTTTATATTTGTTGGTGTTATTAAAAAAATCATTCAAATCTTGAAAATAAAGCAAAAAGTAAGTACATACGTCCTTTTAATGTTATAAAGTGATGAAGGCTACCCAATGATTATCCAGGGAATACACTTAGACTGTTTACTAATGATTAAAAGACCCAGATTTAGTAAAGTTATATTAACTTGTAGATTTCTGTCCAGTAGAACAGATAACCCCCAAAAGTTATGGTTTATTGTGCTATATCTAATACACAAATATTAGCCTAACATTTCTTTTTTAACTGCAAATATAGATGTAGATATAAACGCAGTCATGGATATGTAAGTTGAGCATCCCAAATCCAAAACTTTTTTTAAGCACTGACACAGTGTTCAAGGGAGATGCTCATTGGAGCATTTTGGATTTCAGATTTGGGATGCTGAAAACTGGTATGAATACGTAATGCAAACATTCTAAAATCTGAAAAAAATCGAAATCTAAAACACTTCTATTCCTATGCATTTCAGATAAGGCAGGTACAGATATACATATATAGACTCTTAATTGTTCTTTGAACCAGTGTTAACATTCCCTGTAAGTTTATATGTGTTCATTTCATATTGGTATGAAAGTCATAGTTTTATCTTTTTGAAAATTATACTTTAAGACTGCTAATAAAGTCAGTTGCTTTACCTTTAAGCCTTCTGGTCCTGGTTCACCTGCAGATCCCTTTCGACCTGGTTTTCCCTAGAAGAGAACAGAATTGTAAAAGAGAGGTATGTTCAGTCATTTGCATTTTTGAAGGTTTCCTAAGGTTTATAAAATTTAGACTATTCTTGTATCCCCCAAAAGGGCTGAAATAATAAATCAATTAAATAAATAAAATATATTAGATATCTTTACGAAACACTTCAAAGTCATTTGATAAATGTATTTTATCATACTCGTTAGCCACTCACTTTACAAATATTTGACTACTATTTGTTATGCACAATTCTAGATGCTGAGGATTGAGAAGTGCACTAAACATACCCGCTCTTATAGAGCTTATATTTCAGTGAGAATGAGAAAATTTTTTAAAATAAGCAAAATACATAGTATATTAGGTAGTGGTAACATGAAGGTCAACAAATTAAGCTGGGAAGGGAGGTATAAACTATTGTGGGAGTTTTGTTGAAAGTTTTGGTAAGGTTTTGAGAAAGGAAGACCTCACTGAAAAGGAAGTACCTGAGTCAAGACACAAAGAAATGGGTAAGTGGCCAGGTGGTGGCTCAGCCTGTCATCCCAGCACTTTGGGAGGCTGAGGCGAATGGATTGCTTGAGCCCGAGGGTTCAAGACCAGCCTGGGCAACTTGGCGAGACCTTGTCTCTGCAATACATTTTTAAAAAAATGAGCCAGGCATGGTAGCGTGCGCCTGTAGTTCTGGCTCCTTGGAAGACTGAAGCAGAAGGATCGCTGGAGCCCAGCCTGGGCAACGGAGTGAGACTCTAACTCAAAAAAAAGAAAAAAAGAAAAAAAAAATAAGAAATGGATAAGTTATGTGGATATCAGAAGGAAAAGTATTCCAGGCAGAGGAAAGGAGCACGTGAAAAGCTACTACAGCTGGCACGCACGTGCTGTGTTGTAGGAACCATGAGAAGCTGGAGAAGAAGTAGGAGAGGAAAAGATCAGCAAGGAGCTGAGGCCAAAAGCAGAATGGAGAATGGGAAATCCTACCATGTAGGGCCTTTTAGGTTACAATAAGGGCTTTGGCTTTTACTCTAAGTGAGACAGGAAGTCTTAAAGAAGAAAAAGGTTTTTTTGAGAAGAAAACTGATACGATCTGTGTTTTCACAGGATCACAGGGATACAAAGGCATAAGTGGGAAGTTCAAGTAAGAGTCTACTGCAATTACCCAAGCAAGAGATTAAGTGGTAGCAGAGGAGACAGTGAGAAGTGGTAAGATCCTGGGTGTAGTCTGAAGGTGGAGTTTCCAGGAACTGTTGTTGGGTCACGTGTGGAATGTGGAAGAGAAGAGTCAAGAATAAACCAGATTTTTTCATATGAGTAATTGATAAAATGAGATAAGGGAGACTGAGAAGAACAGGTTTGGAGCATAAATTAGAAGGTGGGTTTGGACATTTTAGTTTGATATGCTTGTTAGACATCTAAGTGAAGAGATCTTGTGGTAGTTACACAAGTCCAGAGTTCAGAAGGTTCTGTTATGAAGATACGATTTTGGAAACCATCATTTTGATGGTATTTAAAGCCATAGATTGGATGAGCTCATCTAGGCAGTTAAGTGTAGACAGAAATGAGACGTCCACAGATCAAGCCTTGGGGCACTTCAAAATTTAGAATTTGAAGAAATGAGGAAAATATGAAATTTGATGCCAGAGTTAGGAGAGAAAACATTCAAGTGAAGATGCTGTTTCCAGGAAGAGAGAGTGATCTTGTCAAATTCTGAGAAATGAGTACTGAGTAATACGAGGATGATGAGGACTGATAACTGACCACTGGATTCAGCAACATCGAGGTCACTGATGACCTTTATCAGATCATTTGTATTTCGGTGGTGGGGACAAAGTGATTTAAGCAGATGGAGGAGAAAAATTGTAAAGAGCATGTATAGACAACACTTTTGAGTTTAACTGAAATGGGAAGGAAAGAAATAAGGTAATACCTGGAAGGGAAATTGGGATCAATACAAGTTTTATTTTTGGTTTTAAGCTGGAAGAACTAATAGCAGGCTTATTTGCTAATAGGAATGCCTGGTACATAGAAAACAAGATGCAGATGACAGAAGATTTGCTGAACCAACACTGACAAGGTAGACAAGGGATCAAGGTATGAAATGGAAACAAATAGAAGCTTAGATCTTAGCTTAAAAAATGGTCTGTTCGTCCACAATAACAGAGAGAAGGCAGAATAAATGGATATGGAGGGAGGAGGGTAGATACAATGGCAGAAGATTGTGCAAGTTCCCTTCTGATTAATTCAGTCATCTCAGGGAAGCAGAAAGTGAGGTGAAGGCTAAGAATGAAGATAGGAGAGAAGTGAATGGAGTTTGAAGAGAAAATATGAAGTAATAATTTAGAAGGGTAAGAGAATAAATAGGTATGAAGATAGAATTCAGAATGTACAAAGGGATAATTTTGTAAGCAGGATGAGGAGGATGTGGGATCTTGAGGGAGATAAGGAACAATAGAAAAGCAGTAGAAATTTTCTATAAGGAACAACAGAAAAGCAGTAGAAAGCCAATGGGTTGAAATTTCTATTGGGGTTGATATACTGGGTTATAAAAGATGATATACTCAAAGAACAAAGATGGTGGTTGGGGAGATCTCTGAAGTTGAAAATAAGGAGAGTTTGCTGTCACTGGTAATGATACAGTAAAGGCTCTAAGCATGGTAATAAGTAGTTAAAAAAGAGTAGAAGATCACTAGAGGAAAAGTAGTCAATATCCTGGATACTGGGTGGATTATCCTACAGTATGGAGTTTCTACTATCACACAATTGACATCTGATATATAAATAATTTTTGATATGGGAGGTCTCTATGCCTCAAACCGTGTATGTGACACATTGAAATCTATGAGAAAAAGGGTGAGGGTGAACTGCTGGATATAACACTAATTTATAGTACCTACAAGGCATTCTATATTTACATTTTATCATTGTTGTCCATTAACAAATACTCTCATATTTTTCCTTCTTAAAAATAAAGTGAAAAAAAAAAACCTCTCTGGTTCTTATTCTGTTTGACCACATATAAAAGTTTTACAACTTAAAACTGTATTTAGGACTTCTAGCCAAAAAGTCATTCTAATTTTTTGCTTTTGCCTGATTTGAAATATCTAATGGTTTCCTACCAAGAAGAAAATAGAGAAAAGAACTAAAAATCATTCTATTATTGTTAAATATCAGTTGTTTTCCAATTATCAGATATGTTTGTGATATTCACAAAAATTTCAGCAACCCATTACTTACACCTGTTGGAAAAAACCTTAGTGAGAATATTCTTTTCATCTTTAATAACATAATACTCATTTAAGCATTATAGCATATTAACAAACAGTTATACATTGTATCTACTTTATGGAAAGACTCTCACTGGTATCAGTAGTTATAAGCTCTTTGAAATCAAGTAATTCAGAGCACCACTGTCAGAGTCATAACTTCTAGCCCTATTTAAATTCTATCATATTAGACTGACTTTGAGAATGTCATACTTGAACATGTAATGCTGAAACCTTATTTTCACATCAAAAGATGGGAATGCTGGCTTACAGAGTTTTTATCAGTGTTAGAGATGATTAATATGTTATACTTAACAGCAATAGGCCCCAAACTGATCTTCAGCCAATAGTAGTAAGAATAATAATACATATTAAGACTAAGTAGACAAGAGGTGAATATAGTTCTCCTGTTTTCTAGGGAAGTAAATTTTAAATAAGACCAATTTTACTGGGTTCAAAGAACAGTTTTTCTGTTGTCTAACTCTTCTCACAGAAATAAAAAACTCTTTTTCTTTCAATGGGATAGTAGCAATATTAGTGCTAGTGAGGTAAAGCTGCAAAAGAAAGAACTGTTGTCTCTTTAAATGTAAAAGCATTTTAAGAATCAGAACTTTATGATGTTCTCAAGAAAAGATAATAAGATGTATCTCATGTAAGTCTCACTAATGCCCCTTAAAATAAATGTAACACATATACCTTAATTATTTCATGATAATGATAATTATTTCATGATAATGTAAACTTTGGTCATGCATACCAAAAGTGCTTAAAGAATTCGTTTTCAGAAATTGAAAACAAATAATTCATATATTACCACATGATATTATCTGATTTAAAAAATTAACAAAAAACACATCTTATTAGCTTTCCATAATTTTACTAGAAATTTTATTAGGAAACAGAAATTCCCAGGATATTACTAAAAAGGCTAAAGTATTTAGTTTCCCATTGCATTTTGAGAAATGTATAAGTAATTCACACAAATTAATAAGACCACAGATCACTGAATAAACAAGTAAATATGTAGTAAGCATAATACCAAAATATCTCTGACAATTCCAGTTATTGGCCTATTTTATTTTGTGGGATTTTATATCTATAGTTTGTTTTAATTCATGTCATTTACTATAACTTAAAATTTTATGCTATTAAAAATATGTGCAGAACAGCTGTTTTCAAGAGAAGCACTTGTGGAACATTATTTACATAATACCTACTCTTGGTCCCAGTTCTCCAAAGGGTCCAACTGGTCCTTCTTCTCCCTTAAAAAAATCAGAACATATCATGGTCTAAATATTTTAAATATTTAAAAATGTAAACTCTGATTGTCTTTATTCTGAAACAAAATTCATTCTGAGATGGAATGAAAATAATGCTGAGATTTTCTCATATTTCGAACTGCATCACTACATAACACTTTAGTTTTCTGTGAGACAACCTGACCTTTACCCTAAGAGGGATGTGTACAATTAGATTATTTTTAATTGGTAGATGAGGCAAGTCACATATACAGAAGCCTGGGAGTAGAGAGAACTGAAAGTAATTAGGGCATCACAAAGCCAGGATTAGGAATCACTGAGACCATTAGTCAAAGACATTCCTTACTTTCTTGGGTTTGGTATTTCTCTGACACAGAGAGAAACTTAACTAACTCCTTAACGGATAAAAATAAATACACACTGGCACATTAAAAAATTACTTATGCCAGGCCATGGTGGCTCAAGCCTGTAATCTCAGCACTTTGGAAGGCAAAGACGAGAGGATTGCCTGAGCCCAAGGGTTTGAGGCCAGCCTGGGGAACTTGGCAAGAACTCATCTTTATAAAAAATAAAAAAAATTAGCCAGGTATGGTGGCATATGCCTATAATTCCAGCTACTTGGAAGGCTGAGGTGGAAGGATCACCTGAGCCCAGCAGGTTAAGGCTTTGGTGGCCATGAGCATGCCACTGCACTCCAGCCTGGACGACAGAGTGAGACTCTGACTCAAAAAATAAAAAATAAAAATTTACTTATATAGAACATGTTTGATATAGGTACATTTTTATATTTCTTTCACTCAACAAATATGTTTTAAAGTCTTAGTTCTGTCTTAAGTCCTAGAGATACAAAGGTATATATCACATCCTACCCAAATGGGGCTTAGCCTTTATAGGTTATTCTTGATTAATTTATATACCCAATATTCTTGAGGTCAAATCAGCTATAATGTCATAACATATAAAAATCTGGTGCATTATTATAAGGATAAAAAAACTATAGAGGTGGATAGAAACTGAAGATGAACATCAAAAAATAGAGGTTTAATCTATCACTCTCTAAAAGAATAAGACAGTCATATTCCATTTTATGACATATTTAGTAAATATGCTAATTTACCTTTAAATAATTAGTTGATGTTACCACATCTGAACAATCCCTAGTATATAGCTTATCTTATTTATTTTATAAACATTTTGCTCAATTTGCAATTTAATCAAAATATAATTTATAGAGTCACAAATATAAAATAGTCACAAATAGTAAATATACATTATAATACATATGAATGAGATTCTGAGTTCAGATCCTTCAGCCATTCTTTTGGAGACCAATGACATAAGTCATTTAATGAATTTACAACACTGTAAAATGATTATAAATTGTATTCCGTGACTGCCAGTTCCATGACTGCCAGCTGGCTAAATGTTCATTTCCTCCATACCTGAGTTCCTTTGAGACCAGGAGGTCCAAGAGGTCCTCTACTTCCAAGGAGTCCCTTTAAAAGCAATATAAACACACACAACACAAAGTTTAGGTCAGTTGACATTTTCGTCAATCGGCATTAATCTGGAGGTGCACACACTATTATTTGATACCATTTATGTTCCCATTAATAAGTTATCAAAATGGGGTGTGAAGGTTGATGTGCAGAAAACTAAAGGGCATCTAACAACATGTCACTTTTTTTTTTAAAGACAGGGTTCACTCTATTGCCCAGACTGGAATGCAGTGGTATAATCACAACTCATTGCAGTCTCGAACTCCTGGGCTCAAGTAATCCTCTCACTTCAGCCTTCCAAGAAGCTGGGACATCAGGCGCACGCCACCATGCCCAGATGATTTATCTTTAGTAGAGATGAGGTCCCACTATTTTGCCCAGGATGGTCTCAAACACCTGTGGTCAAGCAATCACCCTAACTCAGCCACCCAAATTGCTGGGATTACAGGCATGAGCCACCATGCCTGGTCCAGGATAAACTTATTTTTAAACAGTAAGTTAATGTTCAAATAATCTGCTCAATATGCTATTCATCAACCTCCAGACTCCTTTTCAGAAAAAATACTTTTAAATTTAAAGCAATGGGTCCAGTTGTTAAGCTGACAATAGTACATAATATATAAAACAAATAGAGTGTCCACATAGTCCGAAAACAGATGGGGGAACTAACAGTGTTTCATATCTGTTAAGAGACCAGCAGAGTCTGGAACTCATTAACTGTTAGTTGAAGAACTCATTAGTTCTTCATTACTCATTAGCTGAAGAATGTTCTTCCATTTATTTCCCTTTGTGATACAAGATGCTAAAAAGAGAAGGGCAATTTGCAAAAGAACTGTCTGAATTTGGCTAAGAATTTTAAGACTATAATAAATATTTTGTTAAACAAAATGCATGTTGTTTAAATCAACTGCTCTCTGAGTGAAAACCCATTCAAAGTAACTATTTAAAAAAACTTCCTAATTCAAAAAACACCATACAAAATTTTTGAACATGGCAACATTTTCTTAATCAGCTCTGTTCTCCTAACTGTGCAATGTGTCAGCAAAGTTTTAAGTAAATCTCTGTTGAGAATTATATTTTGCATTATTGATTTTTCTCATATAACTATTAAGAGATTTTATTTAATTTTTAATTGTAGGAAATAACTATGCTAAAAGGCAAATCTACCTAGGTGACTTTGATCTTGTTTTGAAATGCAGTGGACAAACTTTATTAGAATCTTACCTTAATGTTATATCTTGCTCTATCATTGCTATGCTTTACCACAATCACAAAATGAAAAACTATTGGTCAATTTAAAGTCTACACTATATCACTACAGATTTATTGGGCAAACAGCACCATTCAAGAAACTTATCACTTTAGGTAAAAATCTAACTTTTTGTGCAGTTTTTATTTTTAAAAGGAAAAAATGGATATGATCATGGAAATGAACATAGGCTGTCTTGTCCAGTCCAACATACATAAATCCTTTTTCAGGCAAAAGCATCTAACTTTCCTTAAGGAAGTACTCTTTCTCTATTGTTAGTCCTTGTGGTTTGGGGAGGTGACTACCTCTGACTGCAATGGTGAACATGTGACAGGAACCTGAGTCAGTGAACTTATGAGAAAGAATGATTGGTTCAAGAACGAGTAAGGGACCCAAGTCAGTCTAACAAAAGCAAATTTCAAACCTCAGTGAAATGATCGGGAAGACAGAATAGCATTAAGGATATGGTTAAACTGAACAGTGGGAAACCATCCAGGGGACACAGCTGAGAATGAAATAAACGAATTAACAAATGGAGAGAGTGGGAATGATGGGCTCTTGTGATATTGCTGGGGTCCTAGATCCAGAGGTGACTGAATTCCTAAACCTTTCACCTATTTATTTAAGCCTGTTTGAGTTGGATTTCCATGACTTACAAGTAAAAGAATTCTGACTGATACAATGATTTCAAAGTCTCTCCAATATCTAAAATACTGCTCTTTCAGAATTCAAAGCGTAAGATTTTAAGTGTTTAGACTGACTGGAGGTACAATATCAGAGTGCTGTGATATTTGAATATTCTACCACCTGACAGCTAATGTTAAAACATGTAATTCATCTGTTTGTTCATTTAAAAAAAATCTAACACTGTACTAATTTTCTACTATGTGTAAGGTTCAATGAGCAGTACAATATTAGAAGAGTATACAGTATAAATAAGACACAGTCCTTGTTCTCAATCAATTAATAATTTATTATGGGAGATGGTCTTTTAAAATAAAAAAATATTAAACAAGAGTAATAGTGTGGGCAGAGAGGGGCTAAAAACAGTTAAAATTATTCCTTTTTAAAAATCAACCCGCAAGCTCCAAACTTTCTAGACATGGGATGTGAGAAATCCAAATAGCCACAGGACACTTTCCTGGAAGTGTAAGATAGCAATTGATTCACAACCTCACCTCCACATCCTCTCTTTGTGAAGTTATCAGTTTACAACCCCTGTTTATCATGTATACCCTGGAGATAACTTGTTCTTTGAAAATTTGGTTTTGCTAAATACCACCATGCAAATTCCAAAAACAAAAATGTATAGCTATATAACCCGACCCCCTCCCTTACCTAAACTAACAGATAAAACCCCTCTCCTCTTTCTCTGGGTTGCTCAGTCTTGGAGCATTAGCCTGCTGAGTCGCACTGGTGCTAATAAACCGCTACTTCCTAAAATAGCTTCGGTGTCAGGTCTCTCTGTTTCCCTGCAACAATAGAAGTAAATAGAGTAACAGAAGCAGAAGTATATGCAAAGTATAAATGGAAATTTAGAAGAAGCAGCAAAATTACTTCCGGGAGGATTAGAAAACTTTTAATATGTGAAAATAATTTTGTACTGAGTAATGACAAGCTAATAAAAATTTGTAGATAAAAATAAGCATATAAGAAAAAGTTATATGCAACTCCTGAGTCTCAAAAGGCTCTGATAAGTGTTCTATGTTAGATTAGAGTATGTGTGTAAGAAACATGTGTGTACTATGTTAGATTAGAGTGTGTGTATAAGAATGTAACCAACAGAGGGCTGAGTGGGCCAAGAGTTCTAGGTCCCCCTAACTCATGCATTGAAGTTATTTATTCTGGATGGCACCACCAACTAAGAAGCAGAAATAATCCTTTCAGTGAAGCAGGCAAACCTAGGCAACTTTTCCTCTCCTCTTTCAATACTGAATTATAATCTTAAAGGAATAATAAAAGCTGGGTTAAGAAAAAAAATGTTTAGTTATAGGCTATTTACAAGGAACATGCCTAAAACAGGAAAATACAGAAAGATTGAAAGTAAAAAGAAAAAAATGGAAAAAGATATGCAAGAGGTTTGCCAGTCCAAAACAACGGAAATAATTTTATTAATATGAGACCTAGTAGACTTTAAAGTAAAAGAGATTTTTGGAGTTAAGTGAGTGACTAAATAATGATAAAAGATATATTCACCAAGAAGGATAAACACAATTTTTATGCATCTAATAACATAAATTTCAAACACAAAATGGCAAAAATTAGTAGACGTATAAGGA